TGCTCATAGTTCCAACCAATTTATGTCGTGCTGTAAGTCCCGAGTGGACCAGCGGCCCTGGGCAACCGATGACAGCAGATGAGCGCCCCAGCCGAACTGACTTAGAATTAGACATTAGAATTATCTGACTGGGTTCCAGAAAGAAGGATCCCCTCTGTATGGACAGGGAGGTCCACCATCTCAGAGACGACCGTACTGCCACTGGGAGGACCACCGTGATGTTCGAACACGCTCAGAGGGATCTCTAATAGGGCAGTAGGAACCATTGAAGAGGACGACTGTGAAGACGAGCCCACGAGACAATTGAGATGCACGAAATTAGTTTGCCGAGCAGTTGGGACAAGGTGACCAAGGGAACGGACCTGAGAGACAGAACCTGGGTCACCAAGGAACGAATGCTGTGAATCCTGTCGGGAGAGAGAAAAACCCGACAACTGACCGAGTCTATGACAGCTCCAAGGTGGAGAATGCGCATGGTGGGCGAGAGCTGACTCTTGTCGAGGTTCAGAGAGAACCCGTGCTGTTGCAAAAGATGAGAAACGGTCCTGAGATCGTCTACAGCCTGATCTCAAGAGGCAGATAGGATGATGATGTCGTCCAGATAACACATGACCCTGATGGGGACTTGTTGCAAGGATGCCGCCAAGGTCTCCAGTAACTTCGTGAAGGTCCAAGGGGTGGACGAGAGGCCAAACAGCATGGCCCGATATTGGAAATGCCTGTTGGAGTAGGCAAACCGAAGAAAACGTCGATGTGAAGGACAGATCGGGACATGCAGGTAAGCCTCCTTGAGATCAATTGACGTCATAAAGTCGCCCCATCAGACGCCCTGCAGAATCGACTTGAGTGACTGCTTTTTGAAGTGGGGATATCTGACGAACTTGTTGAGTACTTTCAGGTCTAAAATCCCTCTCCAGTCCCCGGAAGACTTCGGGATGAGAAACAGGCGTGAGTAGAAACCGGATCCCCGTTGTTCCACCGGCACAGGTTCGATGGCGCAGATGTCGAGCAGATGTTCTATTTCTGCGTCCATTAACGCTCTCTTCTCCGGGTTGCCCGGAATCGGGCATCAAAGGAAGCGGTTCGGAGGGCTGGAGAGGAAGTCCAAAGTAAGGCCGAACCTCACAGTCTGGAGAACCCAAGCATCTGTTGTAGAAGAAACCCATTGGGGCAAGAAGTGGAGAAGACAACCTCCAATGGGCAGCTGTGCGGTGTAGTCACTTGCCCCTTCGGAATGGCTGGTTGGACGTCCCACGGTATTGGTGTCTGGTGTTAGGCTGACCTCTGCCCCGATCACGGTAGGTAGGTCGTTCAGCGACCCGATCTCCTCCGTGAGAATACTGTCTGGAAAAGTAGGACCCGCTGGGCCCGGAGTCAGTCCGAAAGGGCTGCCTGTGGGCATAAGGAGCAAATCTCCTATCATGACGTTTGTAAGAGGATGGCATAACCTTTCATTTATCCTTATCCTCCACAAGTATAGGGTCTAAGGCATCTCCAAAGAGAAGGGAACCCTTGTAGGGAGCAGATGCCAGCTTCCACTTTGATTTGAGATCAGCCCTCCAGTGGCGGAGCCAAAGAAGACGCCAAGAGGTGACATTGGAGACAAGGGCCCGAGAAGAAAATTTAGCCGCATTCAAGGATGCGTCTGCACAGTACTCAGTGGTGGCCACGATTTTATTTATGTCATGATGAAGCCTGCTGTCCTCCGGCGGGAGCCACTCCTGCAATTGGCGCAACCAGATGATGGATGCGCGAGCGAAAAATGAAGTAGACGTAGCCGACCTGATGGCCCAGGCCACAGCTTGATGTGTCTTGCGGAGAGACAGCTCAGCCTTCCTGTCCTCAGCTTTGAGTCCATCTAGGACATCGTTGGAAATCACAGAGGATGACGTCAGCTGGGCCACAGGGGGGTCCACCGAAGGCAAGTGAATTAGATCCTGCAAGGAAGGATCTGAACAGTATAACCGCTTATCAAGGCCAGTAGAAGCAGAAATGTAAGCGGGTTGGGACCACGATCTTTGGACCATATCCGTGAATAATTCCGGGCATGGAATAATATCCTGATCCGGCTTTTGCAGATGGAAGAGATCGTCATGAGGAGTCAGATCCGTCTGTTGAGATGGCTGGGAAGATGATAATCCCATGTTAGTGGTAGTCTTGGCCTTGTGGAGCAAGGACTTAAACATGGAAGGACGGAATAGTCCCGTAAATGAAGGTCTTTCAGGAGCTAGGTCCTCGTCATCAGACAATTCCCCCTCTTCAAGTTCCTCCTCCTCCCAGGGGGAGTCCTCAGTCAGAAGGGATTCTGGACAATGGAAATAGGAACGGCGTGGATCGCCGTACAAGGGAGCCGGGGGGGCACCAAGACAGGGATCTGAGACCCTTGGAGAGGAGCAGAAGACAGAATTCGAGACATAGTTTGAGATACGAGGTCCTGGATGTCCCAAGAGAGAGTAGGTTGAAGGCCTTCCGATGGACGAAGACCAGCGGCTGTAGGAGTAAAGGTAGCCTCAGGGGCAGACCGACCTGGAGGTTTATTGACTGGAACACAGGGACCTGGAACCACGGACGGAAAGGCAGCCTCTCTAAGGTGCTGGACGTCCGAAGGGCCTTGAATAACCACTGAATGATCCTGAGTCATTGGAGTAGGCCTGTCCGGAGACATCTGATGATGAGACAATTGAGCCCTCTGTTGGGCGAGAAGATACTGTTTCTCAAAGGCCTTGCGTTTCCGTTCCTCAGCCCTATCTGCAGCAACAGAACGAGTGGTAGGATGAGGACTTGCAGATCTAGCCCTGACATCACGCTGTTTGGAAGTCTTGGCAGGCGCCTTTGATCATTTCCTGGCCTCAGGAGGACTGTAGACCTGTTCAATTTCAGATGAGATGTCAGAATCAGCCATCGCGAGGATGCAGACAGGTAAGTGATTGAAAACAATTAATAGGAATAGTTGATGAATGGAGGAATCAGTGAATAATTAATTTGAATTTTATTTATTTTTTAATAGGAACCACAACCGAAGTAGAAACAGCTCCTACAGGCAGGTCAACCAACACGCAGCAATTAAGGTGGCCAAGAAGGTGTCACAACACCCCAATGCTGCTTCGCAACAGAAATTTAAAATAATATCTTCACAAACTGTGTGAGAGCTGGAGAAAGGCCAATAAACTACTTGCCGAAGGCACTAGCGAAAAGCCCAGGTGGGAGGCAGAAACAGTCTCAAAAGCGGCGGGAGGCTGGAATTGAGTGAGAGCCTCCTTCTGTCAAATTGCCTTGTGAAATGGCGCGCGGCTCGAAATGGCCGCCGATCGCCTTTGTCGCCGAGCGCTCTCGTCTATTAATGGCAGGAAGCAATAAATCAGTCAAAATGGCGCGCGGCTCGAGCCTAGCCGCTGAGTGCTGCTGCCGCCGAGCGCTCCTGTCAGATTAATGGCGGAAAGCAATAAACAAAGACAAAATGGTGCACGGCTCGAATCTAGCCGCTGAGCGCCGTTGTAAAGCGAAGAGGCAGTCAGATAAGTAAGCAGAAGGCGCGCAGCTCTCCTTCAGGCCGCCCAGCACCGCAATGAAAGGAGAAAGCGAAACCGACAATAAGGAGTTTGCCGATCCACGCAGGGACTCCTGGCTGCCAAATTTTGTGGATTGTGAATTGTGGAAGGCGGAGGTGGTAATTCCAGTGATCCAGACCCCAACACAACCGCCGGCGGCAAGGATAGTCACTCGGAGTTGCCTGATAGGTAGTGCTCCGAGGAATCAAAGAAGCAAACGGAGGGGAGCCCCCTGGCAGATCCCCAGGGTGTACTCACCCACCGCAGCAATATCAGAGCTGGATTGTCCACAAAGATCACCGCTCGAAGGAAATTGTAATAAAGATGTTTGGAGAAACCAAATTTTGCAAGTTCTTCAGCCAAATTGCCAGAGCCAAGGAAAAAACCAGTCTCTTGCTTGACTGAGTGAATGAACTGGAGCTTAGCCAAGCAAGGGAGGAGTGGCCAAAGACGTTTCTTAAAGAAACATTCACCCAGTCTGGCAATCAAGCTGAGGAACTTCCAACATTTGGATTCTCCAAGCAGCGCGCTGGAGAACTGAAATTAGTCTGCTGTACTCTGCTTGTGTTTTGCTTGTAACAGCTACCACGTTGAAAGAAATCGGCTGTTGGTATTGTAAATTTACTTCATGTGTTATTATGTATATAAAGAAGTTAATGAATCCTGCTGCATCAGTCTGCCTGTGTGTGCTTTCTGGATTTGAATTTTGTAACGAACTCTCTAATTAAGCTGCAAGACTGCCTGTGTTTAAAAGGAGAAACAAGGCAGAGAAGGCTTGCAGGATGGCTGCTGTTGAATTTAAGGAGAGCTCTCTGCCTTGTTTGGGACAGAAGAATTATATAATTTGGGCTGCAAAGCTGGAATGTTTCCTGAAGGCTAAGGAGCTGTGAGATATTGTTGTTAATCCACACCAAGCAATCCAAGCAGATAATTCAGAACAGAGAATGGCACCTCAGAGCCCCATAATATTCTGGGTTTTGTTTCTTTTATTTGTTGACCACCACGTACATGGTTGCCAACCCAAATCACAGGCTTATTTGGAGATTCACTTGAGTTTCTTCTGTTTTTTAATGCTTGTTAGTTAGTCCACAGAAATGGAATTTGAGGACTTCTTCCTATTCTTCTTGTCCTCTGTCATGATGCTGTACTTTGTCTTACCTTCTTAACACCTGCTGCAGTCATTGTCTGCCTATAGTCCTAAAGAGAAAGATTAGTTGCCAAATTAGCTATTTCTCTCAGATTTATTAATCTCCTGCAGTTGGTGTGGGATGGCTGTGAAGTATCAGCAGAGTTACAGAGCAATCCTTATCTCAAATTACGCCACTTGAACATGTGTCTGTTTGTCCATGAGAGTCTCTGCCAGAAATTTCTTAAATACCTCCCTGAGATAAAAAAAGCAAGTGATTCTTAGACTCCTTGTGCACTGAGCAGGGCTTTTAGTTCCACAGTGCAGCTGATATTGAAAGGTTGAGTTCACTTTTGTGATAAACCTCCCCTACACAAGAATAGCCATTTCCGTGGCATTTTTTGCTTCACAATATTATTGGAGTGAAAGGAATGTGAAAAGACTTTCGCCCCATGGATTCCCAAACATGTCTAATGGATATCGTACACTATCTCAGCACCTCAACGACTTGAAGAAGGAGAACTTCAGCCTTAAGTTGCGCATCTACTTTTTGGAGGAGCGCATACAACAAAAGTATGAAGACAATAGGGAGGACATCTACAGGCAGGTGAGTTGGCAGTTTGTTTGTTTATTTATTCATCAAAAATTACAAATTTGAATAAACAAAAGGAACTAAAATGTGGCAGGGAGGGTAGGCATGCTAGTGCAGGTCTCATGCCCCCCTTACGGACCTCTTAAATATGGGATGAGGTCCACAGAAGTTAAGTTGGAATTAAAAGTGTGAAAGTTAATAGCTGAGACAACAGAATAGGGTAAGATATTTCAGACTTTGACAACTCTGTTACAAAAATATATTTTTTTACAATTAAGTTTAAAGTGGTTTACATTATGTTTAAAGTGATTGTTCGCATGCATTACATTATGATTAAACTAAAAAAATCATTTAAATATAAAATTGTACATAGTAAAATGTTACTATGTACAATTTTGTATGCAATATCTAAATCTGATTGCAATCATTGCAGTTCTAAACTATGCAAAACAAGAATTTAAGCCTAGTAGCATTAAGTTATTCTATTATGGGCAGAAGAGTGCAAAACTTTTCTTGTAAAGTACTTCTGAACTCGCTCGATTGTATTTATTTATTTATTTATTTATTTATTTATTTATTTATTTATTTATTTATTTATTTATTGGTTCGATTTATATGCCGCCCTTCTCCAGAGACTCAGGGCGGTATTAACATCTGATATGTGGTAAGGATTCCAAACCGTTAAACAATATTCTACAATTGGCCTATCATATATTTTGTAAGCTCTAGTGAGTAATACTGTGTTTCCAGGAAAAAAAAAACTTTGTAGAATTAAATTCACACGTTTTAGTGCTTTTTTAAGCAATGCTGTTACAATGAATTTTAGAATATAAATTCTAATGAGTACACCCAGGTCCTATCGGGACTGGAGGATGGGGTGATGATGCCACTTGCTCTCAGTATTAAATATGCCTATAACTACTTTTACCTATAGCATGAAAATCATCAGTATAATCTGCCTAGCTGGTAATTAAATCAAACAACATTAGTAATTTATGTTCACTTTGAACCTGGAAAGTGATATCATTTAATAGTGTGTCAACAGTAAAATATAAAATACAATAGCATATTTGGGCAAATAAAACATTTTTGAAGATGACTTCTTAATTAGCAGTTTACTGATGGAAAGTAAGGCTTTAAAGTACAGCTGATGAATACACCTGGGTGTTCACTGAAAGAAACTGTTATGTAGTTTAGATGTGCAGTATTACTTGGCAGACTTGGGCTAACCAATATTTCTGCATTAATAGATTTCATAACATTTTTGCTCTTCTACCTTTTCTCAACAAATTAACTATAAAAGGATGCATAAAAAACACTCTACTGCTTAAAATACTGGGGAGACCACTCAGTATTTCAAATGCTGAAATAATAACTTTTAAGCTGTGGTAAGAAATCCTGATGTTCCTTAGATCTGAGAGTTTCCACATAAAGGTCAGAAATGGTAGAAAAGCTTTCTTGAAAGATAGCTTGCCGGTCACTGTTGATTTTCTTGGTAATGTGCAGCTGTTACAAGAAATCAGACTTGTTTGGGGGCACATTCTCTATTCATTCAGTGGTAGAATGAAGGACAGACAGACTTCAAGTTTGTGTGGCCTATTTTGATTGTTTACTAGAATACTGACTCTGCCAACTAGAGCTAAATACAAATAAAGGCTCAGAAATCTGTGGCATGCAATAAACCTCACACTGATATATATCACACACACACACACACACACACACACACACACACACACACATACATATATACACACACACCTTTTTCTGAAAGACTAATGTAGCCTAATGTAGATGTCGGACTCAATTTGCACAATACAGATACCCATTGTCAACCATGATATAACAGTTAACCACAAACCCAACACAGAGGTGCATTCTCACCACACACTGAGCTAAAACAAGGTTGGCTCATTTGGGATTCAATATGCCATGAAATGCAAACATTCAAACTATATACAAAGCTGAAAAAAGTCTAAAATATACAATTAATACTTATTTTACAAATGAGGAACACTGAGACTTAGAGATAATGCATTGCCTCAAGATCAGTTAACCTACTCTTAAAATATCAGGAATCAAAAACTATTGAAGTTCTACTTCAAATTACAAAGAAATCTACCAGGAGATATATCTACCAGGAGAATGATGCACAATAATATCTTCACTCAAAGATGCTCTTAAAATGTTCACTTAGTAGCAATGAAAGTATTTCTCCAAGCTTAAATGGCATGGTGGGGTAGTTTTTAAAAAGAAAATAGGGAAGAACGTTCTTTCCTTTTTTGCCTGTTGCTAGTATGGATATTAGGTTTTGGGCACTTCCACATTGCATCATTTCCATTTCCTCCACAGAATTTTGCAGCAAACTATATTATCTTTATCCTTTTCAAACCTTAGAAGCAGGGGTGAAATCTACTTACCTTCCCTACTGGTTCGGAAATGCATGGGCCCCACGCGTGCAGATCCTCTGTGAATTCGCAAACCCTTCTGTGCATGCACAGAGGGTAAAAAACAGGTTACTTCCTGGTTAAAACCAGGAAGTAATGACAAACGGGTGGGTGGGCAGAGCCTCACGCTGCCATCGCTACCAGTTCTCCGAACACCCGCCGTCATTGCTACTGGTTTGTCCGAACTGGTCCAAACCGGTTGCATTTCACCTGCTTAAAAGGTTGTTTCCCCAGATTATTGCACTAATAAAAGAGTGCAAATATAACATTTAGTCAATGCTCTGTCCTCTGAGATATAAAAGTTCCTGGAGTGATAAATGTTCCTTTTCAAAAGAGAAAAGGGGTTCCCCAGATATGCAACAGTGTTCCTAGTACATGACCATTTTTCAGACATTTTTATGACCAATGACCAATCTGATTATGGAGTGCAGAAACAAACAAGTGGTTAACATGAACTGGATTTCCTGTTTTTCTGAGGAAATCTAGGCAGAAAAGGAGGCTTGAATACAAATGGTGAAAATTGCTTTGAAATTTATTGCTTTGAAATGGGTGGTTTCTACTACACCCTCAATTCATTATGCAAACAAACTTTTAAGAATGGTCAAGAATGTATTGACTTCTGGAATACTTTTGGGGGGCATGGTGGTTCAGAAAGTAGTATTTGTGTACTTGCAGGCATTCTGGGAGGAGGTTATTTCAGTGCTCTTTAGTCTGAGTTACAGTTTGATCTTGGGAGAAAAAGTAGCAATGCTTCACTTTCTTCACTTTGGGAGCATGGCACAAAGAATGTTACTATTGTTGCTGCTTTACCTATCTCATCAGATGTTTTTGATACAGTTGGTGAATGTGACCCCGTGGCAAACACAGTTGTGTACCCCTTTTATAGAGGAATAAAATTTGGAGCATCAACGAAGACAATACTATATATTTTTGAATTTTTAAAAAGTATCAACAGCTATAGAAATGAGTGGTCTAACATGATCAACCTTCTCAACCTGGTGTCTTCATAATATATTTAAATGTAACTTTTGTAATCCCTGGTCTCCTTGATATTGACTAATGGTAATTGGAGAACAGCAGAAGTTATAATTGGACACACTAGGAAGGCATCAAATTTATAAAAAGTTCAAGGTCAAGGTCATACAATATATGAATTACTAAAAAGTTTGGATAAAATTCTCCATTAAAATTTTCTGAGAAAGTATGTTTATCAAGGATAAGCGATAAATTAGGACATAAGAGGGAACAATACATGGACTATTTTTATAGTATGGAAATTAATACCAATGGGAAAGGATGAAAAATCTTTTACTATCCAAGAATAGGAAAGACTCAAAATCACCACCCATCAAAATAGACTCTTGTTGATTCAATAGATCAGTATTAACTAGGTATAATACAGCTTCACATCTTGATAATAAGAGCTTGTATCAAGAGTTTGTAATCATCTTCTGCTAGAGAAAGGTTACCATGATGTTGACAGTTGCTGTTGACAAAGCAGGAGCAGCTGCTATGGTACTGAGCTGCCAGCCAAAGGCTTGTTGTTCTCAAATAGAGAAATTATAAATAGCTGGATTACTTAATCAGATGTTTATGATGGAGGCATGGGATTTATCAGTCTTTAGGAAAAGTGGTATCACATATAGTGGCTTTGTCTCAGGAAAAAAAGTGACAAAAAAGTGTTGTTTTAGCAATATTTGCCAATTATTTACTAAGAGCTCTAACACATTATAGATACATAGACAGCTCAAAGAAAAGGGGGAAAACAGAAAAAAATGGAGGAGATGGACTTTCTGATTCTCTTCTTTCTGATTTCTCATCAGCTTTTGAGAGCATAAACCAAAATATCTTTTTAGAAGGGCTATTTGAATATTGGACAAACAATTTTTCAATGATTTCAGAGAGCAGTGCTAAGATGTCGCTTGATCTCTTGAGTAGTAGTTCTACTTTGTTGTCAGGCAAATGTGCTGTTTAGCATCTCCATGATACCATTAAAGTTGGCTAGAAATATGATGTTTGTCATCAATGTTACATTATATCATTATATAGGAGCCTGAGTGGCGTAGGAGGCTAATGCCTCCTACTAAGGCAGCATTTAACATCCAGCTGCCTGCAATTACTGCGAGTTCAATTCTCACCAGGCTCAAGGTCGACTCAGCCTTCCATCCTTTCTAAGGTGGGTAAAATGAGGACCTGGTTTGTGGGGGCAATAAGTTGACTTTGCATAACATATACAAAAGTATGAAGGCTATTGCTTAACGCATTGTAAGCCGCCCTGAGTCTCCGGAGAAGGGCGGCATATAAAAAATAAATTAAAAAAAAATATATCAGATTTCTCTCTCCACCTTTGACCTCCTAAGTTTCTTAAATTTAGACAAGACTGCAGACATTCCATACCAGTACTTGAAAGTGATAGCGAACCGGATTAGATCTAATAACCTGAGAATATTTTCACATATCTGTGATTTTATGCATTATCCCATATAGAAAGTCAGTTATTTTCTTCTTACTTAGCTGCAGTGATTTATATGCAGAGATGTCTTAAGTTTCTGTATACGTCTTCTCTTAAAATGTTTTCATTGGTACCAATAAAAAACTTGATGCTACACTTAAATACCAGGTGATTAATTAAAGGGATGCAAATGAAGAAAGGGCTTATAATCCTTCTTAATTCTCTGTAATCTACAGAAAATCACTACCTCTCAAGACAATTGTTAAATTTAGAAGAAAAGTTTTCCCTTAGTTATAGATTGGACCTCTATTTAACGATCTTCCACCTATTGTTTGTTGTCCTGCCCTCAGGTGCTTTGGACAATAAGTCAACCCCCTCCTCTCTATGACAGCCCCTCAATTATTGGAGGACTGCTATTAGGTCATTATGATGCTCCCCTTTTGGGAAATGGGATCAGTTTGGGATGAATAGCCAGTGCCCAGAATGCCTCCCTCAAATCCTATGCTATCTTTGCAAAGCTAAGATATCTGGTCACCTGATTGTGACCCCAATCATGATTGAAACTCCTGGGGAAATCTCATCGGTGCCTGCAGGAAAAGCACCTAGTTGTAAGTAAGCCATTATAGTATGCATTTAGCTGGCATAAGGAATGTTTATTTTTAATTGTCTTTCCTCCCTCCCTCTGTCTATTCCTAATTGCTAGGAATATAACATCTACTGAAATTTGGACCGGGAACACTAGCTTTATTTTACTTTTCCTCCGTACAAATTCATGCCAGGAGTTATTATTTCTATCTTTTATTAAATACTTGGGCCATTCTAATTTGTTTTATCTTAAAATACTATTATCAAATCAATCCAACTCCATCTCTGTCTACAGCCAAGTATGGCTCGGTAGTCTGCTTCACCACTGTAGTGTTGATTCTAACCCCTCTTAGATATTTTAGAATACATAGAAAAAATATATTTGCATGTTAACGTAAAATATTTGTATCCCACCTTTAAAATAAATACATAAATAAATAAAATAAATAAATATTTTAAACAAAATAAAATAAATCCATAAAATTTATGACACTCCTGCATCTCCTTTCAACCAAAGATTTGTAAAGTATATTGTTTTTGCTTGTTTGTTTGAATGTTTCTGATTGGCTACCATGAACAAGAGAAAACACTTGTAATTTTTGCAATGTACTTTTGTATTGTCTATTTCCATCTTGCCAAAAAAAAATCAGAGGAAGGCTTTCTGTAGCTTGTCAATAAATGAATATTTGCATTTAGGAAGCATCTCTCTCTGTGTTAGTAATGCTTTGATGAATAGCATTGGAAAGGTATTTTTAATTACACAGTAAACTATAATATAAATTAAGTTGCACCAATATGGGTTTGGATGATTTCTTTATAAATATGTTTGAAATAAATAGCAACTCACTTTGGAATTTGAATTTCTAGAGCAGAAAACCCAGCAGTACAGTACAGTAGATTATGTTGATTCTTCACTGTTCTTTTTTAGAACATTGAGCTAAAAGTGGAAGTGGAGAGCCTGAAGCAAGAGCTCCAGGAAAAGCAGCAAAGTTTAGAAAAAGCATGGTAAGCAAAGTATATCATGTAGATTAATATTTCATGAACATTGAGCCTGATCAATAGGAATCATAAATGTAATATGTTACATCAAGAAGTACCAAAGTTTTTCTATAAAATATCAAATCCTGCCTCTCCTTCACCTCTGTGGCACTGAATGTCTGAAGGCCAAGGAGTATGACAGCCGTTGAATGGCACTGGTCTGCCAGCAAGGAGGCCATGGAAGCTGATGTAACTTGCGTTATTCTAATGTGTCTTACATGGAGGTGCCTTTGCTCTAGATATGTGAAAATTTCAACAGCTCCTCAACCTATGACCATAACTAGGACCAGAATTTCCATTGCTAAGGAAGGCAGTTGCTCTCTTCATGGGTAAATCTGCTTGTTTTTAGGGGGGAAGGGGAGTGTCTGTTCGAGTGAGTGAATCATGTGACTGCAGGGAGGAAAGTTCTCCAGCTCTCCTCATGGGTAAATCTGCTTGTTTCAGGGGGGAAGGGGAGTGTCTGTTTGAATGAGTGAATTATATGAGTGCAGGGAGGAAAGTCCTCCAGCTCTCCACATGGGTAAATCTGCTTGTTTTAAGGGGAAAGGGGGTGTCTGAGTGAGTGAGTGAATCATGTGACTGCAGGGAGGAAGGTGCTCCAGTTCACCTCATGAATGAATCTGCTTGTTTCTACGGGGAGGGGAGAGTGGCTGTTTGATTGAGTGTAAGTGGGAAGTCTTGTTAGCTGTGTGTGTGGGAAAAAACGGTTAGATGGTGTCCGCTAGCCTTGGAAGCAGTGGTGAAATCTAAAATTTGTTACTACTACCGGTTCTGTGGGCGTGGCTTGGTGGTGGAAGGTAATGTGACTGGGTGAGCGTGGCCAATTTTTTTTTTTACTTTTAAAACCATTTTTTTGGCGAAGAGGTTGTAAAAAAATGCTTTCAAAAGGCTCTGACAATCCTAGCTGAGTTGCCTGATCGGCAGAGACATTTTTTTCTTTTAAATGCCTCTGACAATCCAAGCTGAGTTGCCTGATCGTTAGAGGCATTTAAAAGAAAAAAAGTCTCTGCCGATCAGGCAACTCAGCTTGGATCATCAGAGGCATTTAAAAGAAAAAAAGAATTTTTTTCTTTTTTTCCCAGCTGGGCCGTGCGATCATCAGAGGCTTTTTTGTTTTACTTTTAAAAGCATTTTTTCATCCGAAGAGGTTGTAGAAAAAATGCTTTTAAAAGTTTTTAAAAAGCCTCTGATGATTGTGCGGCTCAGCTGGGCATGTGGGGGGGAGGGATTTTTGCTACCAGTTCTCCAAACCACCCGCCTCCATCACTACCAGATTGACCGGTAGGAGAAGAAAAATTCCAATCTCAAACCTCCACTGCCTTGTGGCTATACCCATCTATGGGAAAGTCTCAACCTTGAGGCAAAACCTGGAGCAGGAGTCCTGGAGTGAGGAGGAGTGCTAGAGGAGTAATACCTCTCTAAAAAAAACCTTGGTCTAGCTGGCCCGGCTGGTAGCACCTCGTAAGGGCCCCTATCCAGGGTTACAGGAGAAGATAGTCAACTGTTTTGAAGGCGGAAGAGGGCTTTATGCCCCAACGGCAGATAAAACGGCAAAACCATCTTCTAGGAGAAGGAAAACTCTGATTACAAACCTCCACTGCCTTGTGGCTATATCTACTACCGGAAAAGACTTCAGGAGTCAACCCCAAGGCAAAATCCGGAGCTGGAGTCCCAGAAGCAGTTCGTGACTATGTACAATCACGTTCTGGTAACTCCTGCGATGCAGCTGGAACTAATCGTATCAGTTTTGCCATTCCATTGGACTATTTCAGCGATGTGGAGAGGGGGGATCTGCTGCTTGGGTAACAGTCTATCCTCCATATTAATCTACCCAGGCCTCGTGCTCTGGAGAAGACACTCCAGCTTTGCATATAGCATTGAAACAACACGGGAAGTGGCAGTTACCAGTTATAGTCTTTGCTTGATTGACGTAGAACATGACGCCAGGGGCCACTTTTGTTGGTGGGAGAGGTCATTGTACCTCATTGGGCAGCTACTGCCCACTTTAAGCTGGGCAGCCCCCAGCCAGTAAGGTGCTGCCCCGCCACGGTCTGTTAACCTCACAGGGTGTGTGGGGATCAAAGCCGACAAGCAGATTTATTTATTTATTTATTTATTTATTTATTTATTTATTTATTTATTAAATTTATATACCGCCCTATTCCTAAGGGACTCAGGGCGGTGAACAGCGAACGATAAAAATACATGTAATACAAACGTTAATAAAAAAAACCAATTAAAATATACTAAACACTCTGGTCCTAGATAATTCAAGACATCCCAGTTTAAAATAAAATCAAAAAGCAATATAAAGGGAAAGTTAGGCCAGGCCGGCCTGCTGAAACAGGAATGTTTTGAGGGCACGGCGGAAAGTGCGCAGATCCGGAATCTTCTGTATCTCTGGGGGGAGCTCGTTCCAGATGGTGGGTGCCCTCACAGAAAAGGCTCTCCCCCTGGGGGCCGCCAGTCGACACTGTTTGGCTGATGGCACCCTGAGAAGCCCCTCTCTATGGGAGCGTACTGGGCGGTGAGAGGCTATTGGTGGCAGAAGGCGGTTTCGTAAGTACCCCGGTCCTAAGCCATGGAGCACTCTAAAGGTGGTAACTAAGACCTTGAAGCGCACCCGGAAGACCACAGGGAGCCAGTGCAGCTCGCGCAGGAGGAGAGCCACATGGGAGCACCATGCTGCTCCCATAACTACCCGCGCGGCTGCATTCTGGACCAGCTGGAGCCTCCGGGTGCTCCTCAAGGGGAGCCCCATGTAGAGAGCATTACAGTAGTCCAGGCGTGAAGTGACGAGGGCATGAGCGACCGTATTTAACGAGTCCCGATCCAGAAAGGGACTGGCGAATCAGGCGAACCTGATAAAAAGACCTCCCGGCCACAGCCATCAAGTGTTCTTCTAAAGACAGCCGTGAGTCCAAGAGGATGCCTAAGTTGCGAACCCTCTCCGTGGGGGGCAATGACTCATCCCCAATAGTCAGTGATGGCACCAATTGACTATATCGGGACGTCGGAAACCACAGCCACTCGGTCTTGGATGGGTTGAGCCTGAGTCTGTTCCTCCCCATCCAGATCCATACAGCCTCCAGGCACTGGGACATCACTTTAAGGGCATCATTGGGGTGGTCCGGGGTGGAGATGTATAGCTGAGTATCATCAGCATACTGATGATACTTCACCCCAAAACCATGGATGATCTCACCCAGCGGCTTCACATAAATGTTGAACAGAAGGGGTGAGAGAACCGACCCCTGTGGCACCCCACATACAAGGGGCCTCGGGGTCGACCTCTGCCCCCCTGTCAACACAGACTGTGACCGATCAGAGAGAAAGGAGGAGAACCACCGCAACACGGTGCCCCCCACCCCTAACTCTTCCAACCGGTGCAGCATGATACCATGGTCGATGGTATCAAAAGCTGCTGAGAGGTCTAATAGGACCAGGACAGAGGAACAACCCCTGTCCCGGGCCCTCCAGAGATCATCTACCAATGCGACCAATGCTGTTTCCGTGCTGTATCCAGGCCTGAAGCCCGACTGGAACGGATCTAGATAAGCCGATTCATCCAAGTACTGAGGAAGCTGTCACGCTACCACACTCTCAACAACCTTCGCAACGAAGCAAAGGTTGGAGACTGGACGGTAATTAGCCAACACTGCTGGGTCCAGGGAAGGCTTCTTGAGGAGAGGCCTCACCACCGCCTCCTTCAAGGCGGCAGGGAAGACACCCTCTCTCAAGGAAGCATTTATAATCCCCTGGAGCCAACCTCGTGTAACCTCCCGAGAGGCCAGCACCAGCCAGGAGGGACACGGGTCCAATAAACATGTGGCCGCGCTCAGTCTGCCCAGTATCTTGTCCACGTTTTCCGGAGTCACAGAATCAAACTCTTCCCAGGTAATATTCTCAAGACTTGCCTCCATCCTCCCTCCCGAATCTACCCAGTCAGAGTCCAAATTTTCCCGAATCTGAGCGATTTTGTCATACAGATATTGTACAAAGTCCTCGGCTCTACCCTCCAAGGGGTCCTCCTGCGCTTCCTGGTGGAGCAGGGAGCGGGTCACCCTAAACAGGGTGGCCGGGCGATTATCTGATGACGCAATAAGACCGGAAAAATAGTTACACTTTGCCGCTTTTATTGCCACCAGGTAGGTCTTAATATGAGACCTTACTAGTGTTCAGTCAGATTCAGAACGGCTGGCCCTCCAACTGCTCTCCAGGCGTCTTTTCCGGCGTTTCATCTCCCTCAGCTCCTCGGTGAACCAGGGAGCCAGGTGAGATCGACGCCGGGTCAGAGGCCGCAAAGGCACGACCCAGTCCAAAGCTCCAGCAGCCGCCCTATCCCAGGCAGCCACTAGGTCTTCAGTCGAGCCATGTGCCAGAGCCTCAGGAAATGGCCCAAGCTCCGTCTGGAACCTATCCGGGTCCATCAGGCGCCTGGGGCAGAACCACCTCATTGGTTCCGCCTCCCTGCGGTGGGGTGTGGTGGTTCGAAGGTCAAAGCGAAGGAGGGAGTGATCTGACCATGACAAGGGCTCGATCGCTATATCCCCTATCTCGAGACCACTCAGCCACTGACCAGAGACAAAAACCAGGTCCAGCGTGTTTGATTGATTACTTTGCACCATGCAACAAACATAAGAAAACTTTAGCCCTAAAGTTGGGCACCTGGAATGTTCAGACAATGACTCCCAGCCTTTCTGATGATTTACACGAGATAGATGACGTACATAAGACAGCTGCCATTGACATGGAGTTGAGCAGATTGCAGATGGACATCATTGCCCTTCAAGAGACAAGACTGTTAGATTCAGGATCTATTAAGGAGAAAAACTTCTTGTTCTTCTGGCAGGAAAAACCATCAAACAAGTCTAGGGAATATGGGGTTGGCTTTGTGGTCAGAAACACCCTACTAGGATCCATTACTCCACCTGCTGCAGGAAGTGAAAGAATTCTGTCCTTGCAGC